AGGTGGGGTTGCTGCTTTCCACCTGGACGGTTCTGGAGGCGGTGACCACAGTATTCACAGCAGCCATAGTTTTGAGCCCCTGCCAGGCTGAGCAAAGGTCCCCTGTGGTAATTTTTTTCCCCCACAGTGTTTTTATACGTCAGTTCAGCAGCTTTAATGGCCCTCTTGACCTCCCTGTTGACTTCTTTCTTATCCTGTGCAGAACCGGTGAAGAAAATCCTTTTTTTTTTGTTAAGGATTTCCTTTTGCTCCTTGGTGATCCAAGGTTTGTTGTTGGGGTAGATGGTGACTTTTTTGAGGGGATGATGATGTCTACACAGGAGATGAATGATGATACTGTGTCGACTTGATTGTTGATGTCATCAGAGGAAGAATGAAGGCTGACCCAGTCAGTGGCCTCAAAACATCCTTGTAGGGTGAGAATACTTTCTGCTGTCCACTGCTGGAGGCTTTTGGACACCTTTTTAATCCTCTTGATGACTGGGGTGTAAGCAGGGGCTAGCAGGATGGTGTGGTGGTCTGCTGAGCCAAGAGGGGGGAGGGAGAGGGCTTAAAATGCATCTGGTACCGAGCCAAAGCATTTGTCCAGTCTTCCCCTGACGTGTGCTGCATGTAACATACTGTTGGAAACATTTAAGCGACTTGTCAGGGGAGCAGTGGCTAAAATCACACAGGATGAACTTGGGAGAGTCTGGTGATAATTGTTCCAATTTGTCCAGACTGCTAATGAGGTTCTCTGTGGCTTTGACATGATATTTTTATCGTTGCGCACATGGACGTAATTTTCACTTGAGAAGTGGGGGGGACACGGGGGGGGGGGGGGGGGGTCTTTACAGAATGCTCTAATGGGAAACAGGTTTCAACACAAACGGCTGTTTTCCGCTTGGTCTTAGAGCTCAACCAGTGTCAATTTAATATAGCGTAATATTGTTTTTGGATGGTAAAAAGTGCAGGGGTCAAAACTTGATTTTGGAAAAAGTGGGGGGGACATGTCCCCCCTGTCCCCCCCCAAAATTACGTCCATGGTTGCACATATCCCGGAGGTAGCTACACCAATCAAGAAAAGATTCCCACCAGAACATCTGAGCTGGACACTGAGCTCCGTGCAGCTCGCTGTCAGCACACACGTAAGATGGACAGCAAGCTGAAGATGTGTAGATTGGGGGCTTGGAGCGCGTTGCAGAACCAGAGCCATGCGGGGAGGTCCCTCCCACTGAAGCAAGTGTTTTCCAAACCCAGTCTCTCAGAGAGACTTGTCACTTAGAAAATGTTCCCTGATTATGAAACTTTGGCTGAATAGCGCTTGTTCCTGTCTCCAACGTGGCGACGCAACCATGAGCCTGTCTGAGGAAAAGTCCAGAATCTCACATCCTCTTCAGCTCAGAAAGCTCCGATTACCCACAAGCAGGTGACCCGTCAACCGCTGGACCTGTTCAGACTATCTTTACATTTAGAATTGGCATACAGATAAAAATGAATGCAGCAAAATTAAATATTCATTAATTATTTTATAAGCAGAGAGCCGCATCAGATGGATGAAAGAGCCGCATGCGGCTCCAGAGTGCATTATGGGTAGCCAGCTTTCCAGTTTTATGTTCTGTATTGTGCGTTTTGTTGGGGTTTTATTGCAGGGTTGTGTTTGATGTTTTTAGTCGTTTATTCAGTAATATGACGGTGCTTTTTTTGTTGGTTTTATTTTGCACCACGAGTGAGTTATATTCCAACAAATGGCATCATAATAAGCTTATTTCCGGAGTATTTCTCTTATCTGATGGCACCATCTAGTGGCTGACAAGCATATCAAACAAAAAGTCTATTCCTCTGTTTAAGATCGCGACGTCACGTTTCTGTTTATGAATGTGCTTCTTAGCCGACAAATGGAGCTAAAACACACTGTTTTACAAGTATTATTCTCATGTCATGTTGTGTTTTTATATATTCATATTTTAGAGACTTGTCCGTGAAAAGTTCATCAACTTTACATCAACCGAGGTATTCCTTAAATTTGAAGCAATGCGGCAGTCTAACGCTATTGGTTAGCTCTGGTCGGCGCTCATTTTCCTATTGAATGGAGCTCTGCGGGGCAGGGGGCGTGCTTGGCAAAAAAAAAAATAAAAATAAAAAATAAAAGACGTGTTGCTTACATTTTATCACAGTACATGATGAGACACTTTTATGGATTTCTGAAAAATCATACATCAATCCTGATAGGGGAAAACTCCGAAAAGCAGCTTTAAGTCATTTTCTGGGGGAAACCCTGTTCTTCATGTTACTTATTTTAATTTTGCAGTCAATGATTATTGAGGTCACCCAGACAAAATAGGATCAGTATTAATTCTCATGACCTTTTCATGTAAAATGCTAGCTGTTACCATTCGCCAGTGTTGGGAAAGCTCGTTTAACAAATGAACTAGTTCAAAGTTCAGTTCATACATTTTCAAACAAACTAGTTCGTTTCTTAGTTCATAATTAAAAAAATGTTGAACTAAGTTCACTGTTCCAAAAACGAACTAGTTCATAGTTTTTTTCTCATATATATACACACACACACACACACACACACACACACGCATATATCTTATGGAATAATTTTCCAATAGTTGGCACCCGTTCAGTCCACAGCTGCAGTTTATACTCTACAGTATACTCTCAATAACATGAGGAAAACATTATTTGAACTGTTTTTTAATGGGTAATTATGAAATAATCTTAGGAAACAGGCTGAGGTAGCAAACTCAAAGTGCAAAACGTAAAAAATGTATAATCTTTTAGTTAAGTCACTTTTCAATTTTTCTGAATGAACTTTGACTCCGGCACACAGCATAGATGTAGAAGAGTAGACGCCACACCGACCACTACGGCCTATGTTTGGCCGCATCATGTGCAGGTTCTACTTTTTATAAACTCTATGTTTAACAGGATGTTTTAGCTAGGCTTTAGCTCCGGAAAAGCTCCGTGGATATTTGGAGCTAGAACGGCGAAAGAATGCATTCAAAAACCCGTTCACACACGCCAGAATGACCGCACTCACTTTTACGTTCGTCAGGCAAAATACAAATGACTTCAGTTCACGTCCGCGAAAAAAATGAATGAATTCACGAATGATCGTTCAATGAACGCATTCGGGTACAACACTACCATTTGCGTACATTGTTTATGCTGAGCTAAAGCTAACAGAATATTGCCAGATTAGGAGAACGACTGGGCTGATTACAAAATGCATTTACCCACTTATCTAACTCTGGGGAATATGGCTACAGACTACATTTCACTTTGGAGTGGAATATCCCTGCGAAGATGGGTGTCAAAACATGAACAGGTGTGCCTTAGACTGCCCACAGGGTGTCCTTTTATTGTGGGCAGTCTCAGGCACACCTGTACATTATTCCTGCTGTCTAATCAGCCTCTTGATATGCCACACCTGTGAAGTGGGATGGATTATCTTGGTAAAAGAAAAGTGCTCACTAACACACATGTAGACAGATTTCAGAACAATATTTGAGTCATGTGGGCCATTCCCATCTGTACCGGGTCGGCCCGGGCCAGGTAGCGTAGGTTGTTTACATATCTGGGTGGCCTGGTATTTTTCCGGGCCCACCAAGGCTCATTCTCAGCCCTCTTCTCGAGGGGGTCTGCTTCAGGCCGACCAGGGCCAACACACCCACTGCTGACAGCAAATTCACACCTTCCATTAGAGCAAGCCTCTGATTGGTGGGTAGAATCAGCCCACATGGGCTTAAGGCAAGGATGTGTGGAATCAACCGGGCCAGGCTGGGGCCGACTGGGGCTACCCGGCCCGGGCCGATCCGGTACAGATGGGAATGGCCCAATGGGTGTTTTGTGTATGTAGACAGTTTCAGATGTTTGAGTTCAGCTTATGAAAAATGGGAGCAAAAGTGTTGCGTGTATATTTTTGTTGAGTGTATTTGGTGGTTTAACCCCCACTCCAACTCCTTAAAGCTGAGGCGTTGGGTCCCATTGAGAAGGCCTTTGGTATGACCTGACCGGGATTTGAACCCTGATCTCCCAGTCTCATACCACTCGACCACTGAGCGGGGCACCTTTGCCTAAATATTTTTTGTTTTATGACTTTTTTCTTCTTGTCTTATAATCATGCTTTCATTTTGATGAGATTGTTTTAGTTAAAGGCGCAATAGAAATCAATTTTACTTACACCTGAGCTTTGGCCCAAACACTAGAAACTTAGACAAACATCTAAAGAACAACATAAACTGAGGTTGAACATGACTGTTTCACCTCCATTTGGTCCCAGTCTCAAACACACCAGACAGAAGGAAGAGCAGCTGGTTGGAGATGGATAACAGCAGGTCCAGAGCCCTCTTGGATTCTTTGGACCTCTGACTTAAAATGCTGCTGATAGAAGCCCAAGTACTTTTTACTGCAGCACTCCATCATGGACCCAACAACCCTCAAACATAACATTCAGAACCAAAGTGCATTGTTGTGGAGCCTGGTTTCAGTTGGTTTGATGTTAAACCATTAAACCCACCAAAACGTGGCCGTTACTGGACCCAGTGCCATGGAGTCAAGTCTGTATTGAGGCTAGAGTGCTCTGGTTCTGGTACGAGATGACATTTTTATATCAGCTGTAAAAAATGGTTTCCCCTCTCCTCCAAAACCCACTTAGGTTCCAAGGTGAAAGGTCACATTCTGGGTCAGAACTACAGGCAGACGGGATGGGCACAGAACATCAGAGACAGTGCGGGTAAGAACAAAGCAGGGGTTCTGGAGAACTACAGGTGTCATGCTGACAATCTGAGGTCTGCAGACAACAGTGGTTCTGGTTCTGAAGCCCAGGGTCCACATTAAACCGACAACTAAGCCTTTACCTGGTTCTGTTGGGTTTGTCTAATCTAGAACTAAAACCATCTCAAAGTGGATCAGTCAGGTCTGATCAGCCTGGTTCTTAGCAACCTGAGCAGAACAAGCGAGTCCAGTCTGGTTTTCTCTGCAGGTAAAAGCAGAAGAACCAGTCCAACTGAATCCTTCAGTAGCTTTTATTAAAAACATTATCATGTCCAGTAGAAAGCACATCTCCGCTTCCTACACACGACCAGAACCGAGCTGCTCAGTTCTGCAGAGGAACAGACCTGACCCAGCTCTGACCCTAACTACCAGAGATGCAGAAACTAGATCTGTGATGCATTCAGGGACCGTCAGATGTCAGCAAAGACTGAAACTGTGTCTTCAGGGAGGTCCAGGAGTACAAGGAGGTGTCCACCTGCACAGAACCAGAACCAGTTCACTGACTGGGACCCAAAAGAGAACAAAAAAGCCACAAAACAGAGCGGCGTTACCATGGTGATATGTTCACGAGCAAGGTCTGGCCTCCGGCAGAGTTCTTGCAAACGCTTACATAGCTGCTCAGGTGTGGAGTACAGATACTGCTCTGCAACAAACACAAGAACAGGTGTGGAGCGTAGATAGGACAGAGGGAAGAGGTGTGACAGGTGTGTTTACCTGGGAATATTTCTGGATACACCAGGGCCTTCGGACACAGAGGGAAACAGCCACAGTGGACAGCTTCTAGCCTGAAACACCAGAGTGAAAACACCCTGAAGCAACAGCTTCATCATCTTTCCCTTCTCCAGTTAGCTGAAGCCACTGGCAGATGCACAGAATAAATAACACCCTCACACAGGTAGTGTTACAAGAGTGGGCCTACAGGTGAAACAACTCCACTCATCCAGGAGGGGCTCTACCAAGTTCAACAGAAGTTCCCACAGGAAAAGGGGCAGACCCTCCCGCCCTGCTGTTGGCTGTCAGTCATGTTTCCCTGCCCACTCCTGATAGATCAGGGTCCCAAACAGAGGGTGTTTCTCAGTGCCAAGGAACCTCGCCATGATGCCTTGGCCCCGCCCGGGTTGCCTAGGAGACACATCATCAGGAGCCGCCAAGACGTGTTCCAATGTTCATGTTCTACCGAGGCGCGTGTTCTCCATTTGTTAGCCGTTTAGCTAGCTGAGCAAGGATACACGGAGGTGTCTTGTAGCCTAGCCTTGGTCAAAAATTTCCTGGAATCCAGCGCAGTGTTTTCAAAAGGACGGCGGATCAGAAGCCGGCAGCTACTTCGCGGGGAAATTTCAAGTTTAAATGTAGGTGAACTAATTGTCGCTTTCAGGCTGATATCTGAAATATTTTTATGTTGCAGCTTCGGTGGCTAGCAGGTAGTAACTCGCTTACATAGTTAATTTAATAAACATATGCACAATGAAAAAAGCAAAAGGCTCGTTATATCTTTATATTTGAAACTTACACATATAAATTATAACGTTACCTCACGTGTCATGTGACAGGACGTGATGTAAGTCTGTTGTTTAACCATTTTCTTTGACCGAGGAAGGACAGTGTCCTGGCCTCACAAGACATCGCACTGCGAGGCCAGGCGCCTTGACATTGGGAAACACCCTCCTAGTCTGAAATTGTTAAAATAGGTATGATGTGAATGTGAAACTAATAAAAATTAGTAAATAAGAAAGTTTAATCTGTTCGTAGTTTAGTGAACAGGTGGAGAGGTGCAGCTGAACAACACCCACATGGCAACTCCAAAGAACTCATGTTTAGCAGTGGAGACGACAACGTCAGCGTCACACAGAACCTGCAGGTAATGGTCCTTACTGGGCAGGAAGCCCCAGTTCAGGATGTTGGAGTCCAGAGAGACACGAGCCAAGGAGAAGATCTCTGCAACAGGAGGACACAAATCTTCATTACTCTGTTCTGGTGAAGGGTCAGGTAAGAACCAGCTCATGATGAGCGCGCGTGTGTGTGTGTGTGTGTGTGTGTGTGTGTGTGTGTGTGTGTACCTGGCACATCAGTGAACGTCTCACCAAGCACCGACACATGAAAGTCCAACAGCTTCTCCTTCAGTCTGAGCAGAGTGTTGAAGAACAACTCGGGGTTCTTATCGTGTTCCCTTCAAACACAGATCTATGTTATAACCAGTAAAAAAGTAATTAGTTATTCACTAAATAGTTCATTTAGTCTTCATTATGATTTAATATTCCTTCTTTTCTTTTAGTAAGAAAACGGTCTAAAAAGATGTCGGCCAGAGCCTGAAGTCCTCTGAACAGCATGTGTAGAGAAGTATTGAAACCTCAGATAAAAATAGTTTTTTGGATTTTCACGGCTGGATTTAAAGAAAATCTGATGTTTGTGACCGGAGCAGGAAAAACAGAGACTAACTTCCGGTCTGCGCCCTGGACAGCTGGTGGCGTTCCACAAGGAGCTGAAACAGCTGTAGTAAACAACCCGACTCCAGTGTTTCTGCGTTAGCGTTATAGCAGAACAACGTATCATCAGTCAGATGTAGCTTCTGAAGCCTCTGCTAGTCGGTCACATTGGTTTTTCCTCTGGGAAACGGCGACCAGAACGGATATCGGATTACCGGAGAAGTTCAACCGAACTCCGACCCCACTAGCTGGATATCACTACTGGAGGTGCAGACACGTTTTAGACCATTTGACTCAGAAAACCCACGACCCGATTTGGACATCGAGGAGGATTCTGTTCATCTTCAGAACCAAAATCGGTTACGTTTGTTAACTTTTGTCCATCCATCAATCCATTTTCAGCCACTTTTCCAGAGTCGGGTCACAGAGGCAGCAGCCTAAGCCGAGGTCCAGACTTTCCTTCTCCCCTGCCACTTGGGCCAGCTCTTCCGGGGGAATCCATAGTTCCTTCAGAGTGTCCTGAGTCTTCTCTTGGGTTTCCTCCCAGTTGGACGTGCCCGGAAAACCTCACCAGGAAGGCGTCCAGGAGACATCCTGACCAGATGCCCGAGCCACCTCAACTGGCTCCGGTGGTACTTTTGTTAAATATTTAACTTCTTTGCTCCACCAGGAGCTCTCAGCTGACAATAGGTCTTACCTCCATCATACTGTCCCAATATACACAACAAAAATATAAACGCAACACTTTGTTTTTGCTCCCATTTTTCATGAGCTGAACTCAAACATCTCAAAATGTGTTTACATACATAAAAGACCCATGACTCTCAGAAGTTGTTCAGAAATCTGCCTACATATGTGTTAGTGAGCACTTTTTCTTTACCAAGATAATCCATCCCACCTCACAGGTGTGGCATGTCAAGGGGCTGATGTACAGGTGTGCCTTAGACTGCCCACAGTAAAAGGACACCCTGACATGTGCAGTTTTGCTTTATGGGGGTGGTGGGGCAGAAAACCAGTCAGTACCTGGTGTGGCCACCATTTGCCTCATGCAGGACAACACATCTCCGTCACATAGAGTTGATCAGATTGTTGATTGTGGCCTGTGGAACATTGGTCCACTCCTCATTAATAGCTGTGGGAAGCGCAGGAACTGGAACACGCTGTTATATACGCCGATCCAGAGCATACCAAACATGCTCAATGGGTGACATGTCTGGTGAGTATGCTGGCCATGCAAGAACTGGGATGTTTTCAGCTTCCAGGGATTGTGTCCAGATCCTTGCAACATGGGGCCATGTGTTATAATGCTGCAAATGAGGCGATGATCGTGGATGAATGGTACAACGTTTGGGCCACGGGATCTTGTCACGGTACCTCTGTGCAATCAAGATGCCATCAATAAAATGCACCTGTGTTCGTTGCCCATAACATACGCCTGCCCATACCAGTACCCCACCGCCACCATGGGCCACTCGTTCCACAACTATGACATCAGCAGACCGCTCACCCACATGACGCCACACACAAGGTCCTGGGCTGGTGTGGTCACACGTGGTCAGCGGTTATGAGCATTTGGATGTACTGCCAAATTCTCTGAAACGCCTTATGGTAGAGAAATGAACATTCATTTAACAGGTAACAGCTCTGGTAGACATTCCTGCAGTCAACATGCCAATCGCACGCTCCCTCAAGGGTTACAACATTGTGGCATTGTCCTTTTTGATCAACCTGCACGTCAGGGTGTCCTTTTATTGTGGGCAGTCTAAGGCACACCTGTACGTTATTCATGCTGTCTAATCAGCCCCTTGATATGCCACACTTGTGAGGTGGAATGGATTATCTTGGTAAAGGAAAAGTGCTAACTAACACACATGTAGACAGATTTCAGAACAATATTTGAGAGTTGTGGGTGTTTTGTGTTTGCAGAAAAAGTTTCAGATGATTGAGTTCAGCTCATAAAATACGGGAGCAAAAACAAGTGTTGCGTTTATATTTTTGTTTAGTGTACTTCAACAATCTACAGATAAATAAAATAATGTGCAGCCAGTTTTACCGCTGCGTGTATATATTGATATACCTCTGGAAAATATTTAACCTGTTTGATATCGCTCCCAGACTAGCCAGCTGTTAAATGACATGTCAGCAGAATGTCGGAAAATGCTCTGAGGAAGACTGAAGCCTTCACTTCAAACTGTCAGCAGGTTGAAAAAACATCTTTAAAACCAAGTTTGTCTTACTAAAATGGAAGAAGGAATTTTAGTAATTAGATATAGTTACAAATTACTTTTTCCAATAAGTAAATGAGTTAGTAACTAAGTTACCAGTTTGTAAAAGAGATAAAGTTAAAAGTCCCATAGTCATCATCACAAACTGGTGAAATTCATCTATGTATGCAGACCATCCCCATGGAGGGAAGCGGTGAGCTGCAGCTGTGGCCGCGCTTGGGAACCATATGGTGGTTTACATTCAACCCCCCCCCCCCCAATCCAACCCCTTAAAGCTGAGTGTCAAGCAGGGAGGCATTGGGTCCCATTTTTTAGTCTGTGAGTCTTTGGTATGATGGGACCGGGAATAAAACCCCCATCTCCCAGTCCCAGGTCACACAGTCTACCACTAGGTCACTGAGCTGGTTAATTAGTTACTTAGCAAAGTAAGTGATGTTATTTTTATGTTCTATGACACAGTTATGTTCTATAATGTCCATAACATCCCAAAATTTTACAACACTTTACAATTTGGGACCATTTATTAATGTTACTTAATGCATTAATAAACTATTAAATAAAGTATTATCAACTGCTAGCTTAACCATATTATGTAAAGCATTACTATGCAGACCAGCCACCCCCCGTCCCTTTGTCCTAACCTTGAGGACACTTAACAGCTAACATTAACGGTAATGTTAATAAAGGGAACTTTACTGTAGTGTTACCAAAAGTTTTACAACTTACAACTGAATGATTCTGACTATGTAGAAAGAACATTTCAGATATCTGAAATGTTCTTTCTAGATGGTCAGAATCATTCAGTTGTGACTCTTATGGTGCCAGAAAGCCTGACACCCCTACGCTTCATTCATCCACATTGAAGTGACGCACCACTTTACATGCACAGTAAAGGTAATGGCGTTGCAATAATGGGAAAAGTAATTAATTTGATTACTCCGTTACCTAAAGATAACGCCGTTACTAACACCATTATACTTAAATGCCGTTACTCCCAACACTGGTTACAACCACGGTCAAGCGTGTGTGTGTGTGTGTAGATCCGTTCTCTAAATTATAAGGCAGATGGTGTTGAAAGCCGACTGTGATGGTCGTTGCTGCTGTACAGGTGTCAGATGATAAACCCATCCACGCAAACCTGATTTTTGTAATTCTGTATTATCATGATGTTCAAAAGGTTCTTCTAGTGCAGGAGTGTCCAAAGTTTTCAAGATGAAGGCCAGAATCATCAGGTCATTAGTCCTCACAGGCCACTAGAACTCGGTTTCAGTGCTTGGAACTTTCTGCAGCTGAATGAAGATAAGACTGAGATCCTCATCTGTGCCCCAGACTAGCTGGTTCCCAAAGTCAGAGACTCTCTTGCTCAGCTTTCTTCTCACACCAAACCCTCTGTCAGGAATCTTGGTGTGATCTTTGACCCAGCTCTCACCCTGGATTCTCATGTCAGTTCTCTTTTTTGCTCTTCCTTCTTCCATCTCAGGAAGGACAGCAGAGGGCGCAGCGCTGTTCTGTGGTATCCTGTCATGTATCGGTCCAAGATAGTGTGTTTATATTGTGTTTTTTTTTGTATATAAGAGACTTTTTAACACAGACAAATTTGTCTCTCATCCTCCTCCACATCTAAACCCACGTTTCCTGTCATTTCCGTCCTCAAATAAAACGCTTGCTGCACATCTTTTGAGAGGGTGCTCGCTGCAGAACCACAAAGGCGGAGCTGCACCAGAAGTCTAGTGGCAAGATTGTCTGCCAGAAATTTTACTTTCCCCTCAGCTGATGTTGGTTCGACTCTCGGTGGGGTCGGCAGCAATCTATTTAGCCAGCTGAAAAATTTAATTTGTTTATATTTTAGATGTAATGTTTATTTTCTGCAAAATATTTACGTCTCAAAAAGTTCTTTGAATTTGGTCGTTCCTAAACAGCATTTTAGTTGAAACGCAGCTCACAAATTGACTCACACTGGCTAAATAACCGAATAAATGAAAAAACAAACACAATAGTCATTATATTGTAAACCAGGGGTGTCAAACATACGGCCCGCAGGCCGGATTCGGCCCGCAAATGGGTTAAGTCTGGCCCGCGAGATGGTTGTATAAACTTTATTCTCATAATTTACAATGTAGAGTGAAAAGAAACTCTAATTTTTCAATGAAAAACTTGCTGTTCCCAATACGTTCACTAGATGGTGTAATAGGCATTGTGTTAAGCAAGCAAGCCGTTTATCCTCAGCCAGAGCAAGTACGTCAACAAAGTGCAACAGGTGTTCTGAACAGCTACTTTGTTTTGCCCTGATATCAAATCTACATTTTGTGCTTCAGCCCAAGATGTCTCTGTCAAAAAGGAGAAAAGTGGACACCGAGTGCAGGTTGGTCCAAGAAAAATGGACACCCCCCTATTTTTTCATGGAAGTGAACAGAAAAGCTGTGGGTTTGGTGTGTTCACAGCATGTTGCAGTGCTGAAAGAATATAATCTTCGTCGCCGTTATGTGAGTCTTCATGCCGAAAAATATGACAAATTTGAA